TTTTTTTTTTGGCTGGTGGGTGTTTTGGGGGAAGGGGGGTTGTTTTGGGATTTTTTTGAATTCCCACTCTGAGCCCTGTGCATGCCTAGAAGAGGCAGCACATTACTTAAACCCAACTCACCCAACGTGGCTTATGAGTGCTAAGCACCCACTAATTTTTTTGGTGGGTGCTTGAGCTGACCAAGTACTCAAGGTACTTGCATATTTCAAGCTTATGCAATGAAATATGTCACTGCACCAGTACCAGCAGAATGTACATAGTGTGTACAAAGAGAATGACAACTACACAGCTAGCTAAAAGGGACTTTCCACAAAAGCAATGGATAATATTGCAGCAGAAAAGAAACAGACTGTCCGGCTGAAATGGAACCTTTATTCATTTTAAGTTAGACAGCGTACAAATGAATGTGATTCCAAAAACTGAGTTCAGACAAAATAAAAAACATAAAAATAGCTCATTGGAACGTATATAGGTAATATTTAGGGCTTACGGTAGTGAGTATAATAAGCCAACTAAATAAAAGCAAACTAGAAGTGCAGGCAAATAAATTAGAAAAAAAAGAGTGTGATAGTACCAGAGAAAAGAGTACCTAGTATCAGATTAAAAGTAAGTCACAGGAAATGGGGATACTCTCAACAGAAGAGAGCTGAAAGAGCCTAATTGCCTCTTGCCCTTGGGAATTTTCTCTTCTCCAAAGGCAGACACAGAAAAATGGATAGACTCATTGAGCTGTAAAATAGTGAGCAGATGAACCAAAAGAGTGACTGAGCACACCACTGATCAGTGGAAGGGAAAAAAAGAACAACCCTTCACTGTATATAGGTGCAAAACAATACTGTATCCCTTTGAACAGAAGACACACTTGTCTTTAATCCAGAATTTTCCAACCCTCAGTTAGAAAAAAAATCTCAGAGGCATATTCAAGGACACAACCTACAAGGTGTATATATGGGCTTTTTACTTCTTTTTTTTTAACTTGAATTTAAGACCCCGGAGGCCAGGGTCAGGTTAGGTTTTCTTGCTACTGTAATTTACAGTACAGTACTACCTGCTGCAGTTAACACCAAGTGCTGGGTGGTGGTTAAATAACCTGGCAACCTCTAGGGTGCCAATGGCTTTGGGCAGAGGAGCACCTTAGAAGAGAATACTTGTCTTACTCTTGACAGTGAAAATGCTGCCAAAAGGTTGTGGAACTGAAGTCTACTCCATGTTTAGGTGGACTGAGCTCTTTAACCCTGACCAGCAGCTAGGCTGGGCCTGGAGTCCCAACAGACAGACAAATAGGTGATCTGATCTCCTTTGCTCCAGCAGCTCCTGCAGCCAAACTGATTCTAAACATATTGGCACCAGCCTTT